CGGGGCCCCGGGGCTTGCCGAGCGGCCGCGGGAAGCCGGCCGGGCCCCGCGGAGCCCGGGCGACGTCGGCGCGCCTAACGAGGAAGGCGGGGCGCCCGGCAGGCCGGTGGGCCGCCGTGCCTGAGCGGAGCGCGGCGCTTCCGCTGCCCGCCCCGTTCTGGCCGACCGGCCGGCCGGCCGGCCGGCAGCGGCCCCGCCAGGCTCTTTCGGGGAAGCCGGGTTCGGGCTGCGGATGCAGCAAGGGCAGCAGCTACAACTGCTCTCGGCTGGAATGCCACCTTGCAGCGCCCTCCTCCGTGGCAGGACGGCCGGCGGTGCTCCAGTGGCCTGGGGTCTCCTGCCCCCATCTCAATTAATTGCCCTCATTGAGCGTGTCTTCTGCCAAGTTCTTTGCTTAAGCCACCCCCGGGAGGCCCATCCCAGCACAGTGGCCCTGTACTGCGGGGGTGGGCAACCTTTAGGACCCACCTGGTGGACCGGGGAACCATTGCGGCCACTGCCCCAGCATGCCTGCTGTGTGTGTAGCTGGTCACAGGAGACGAGCAAGCTGCTCCGAAGACTTGCCTACAGAGAAGAGGCAGAGCTTGTATTTGGCCCTGCAGTTGTCACACGCAGCCCACTAAGCAACTCTTTGAAACTCATACCTGTTAGCGCCAACCATCACTTAAAAAAAAATGTGGGAATGCCTGGTGGGTGCCAGGAAAGGTGTCCTGGGGCGTGCTAGAGCCCACAGGCCTCATGCTGGCTTTCCCCTCCTGTACTGCAACAAAATACCCCCAGAGCAAAATGCAAAACTTTATGAGCAAGGAGGCGTTTGGCATCCCCACCATCCTTCTGAGAAGCCAACAGCAGCTTGTGTGTTGTTATTTGTGTGGCAGCAAATAAAGGCGGCCAAGCTGGAGCAGAATTAGCAAAACATGCTTACTACATGCACTCGCGGTCCAAACACTTCAATGGCGTCACCATTTTAGAAACTTTATTTTGACAACAGAACAGTTCTGGGTCTGCTGTCATCACATGGCAGGTGGAATAGTGACACTCATTCTAAACTGTCCAGCTCCAGGCAGGGCGCTGTTGTGGCAGAAAATTCTTCCACCACTAAAAACAAAAAAACTTGCACATGGAAAACTAGCATATCAGAAATGCCAGGTGGAAGGACCAGAGCAACATTTCAGAGCAGGCCAATATTTCACTTCTTTAATCAATGCCACATTGCAGGGACTCTTAATTGGGAATAGCCCCTGTGCCACCGTCAGTGCCCAGCTACCTTCGCACTACCTTCGAAAGCCAAGTGTGTGTGCAAGCACGGCGTGCGCCGTGTTCCGCCCCAGAGTTTCCAGGCAGTGTGGAAGTCCTGCTTTACCCGAGCTCTGCTCAGGTTCCATCTCCCAGGAAAGTTCTGGCCCAGTTCTGTCTCCTCCCACAGCCATGGGCGGGCAGCTTGCGTCCTCTCTTTCCTCCAGGGAACAGGCTAGCGGCACAGCGCCCTCTGGATCCGAGTGCTGGCCTCCCTGGGTCCAAGCGAGATTATCATTTCGGCGACGCTGGGGCCTTCCTGAAAGAGACAGGCTGTTACTGCACAGAGGGAGGGAAGCCCGTGCCTACTGGCCGGGCCACATTTCCAGTATCTGAAGCAAGGGAGTTCTCGTAAGTCTCCTTGGACTAGTCTACTGGCCATGTGGGGGAAAACTAACTGAATTCATTACATTCAGCTGCTTCCAAAGCCCCACTGGAGAACCAAAGCAGCCACTGGCTTTCAAACGACTGTGGCAACTCGGAGCACAAGGCAAGAGATCCGGGTGGAAGGGGATTCACCTGCCGGCCACTGAGGGCGAGGCGGAGCAGCTTCATCACATGGCTGTACTGTGTGCCTCTTATCTGCTCCTGCAGCCGCCTCAGGTCATTGCTCAGCTGTTCTGGCGTCCAACCAGCCACCTGCTGTTCCAGCAACCTTCAGGAGAAAAACACCTTGTCAAGACAGGACAGCAAGGAGTACCAGATGGCCAGATCAGCAGACAGGGGGCTTTGACTGTCAGGTTTCTCCAAAGAAATTACAAATTGCTGTTTTGTGAAAGTGCTGAGAACTTTCCAGCAAAGACCCTGGCATCTCCACAGACTGCTCTTTTCACATGGAATGAAACTTTGGTCAACAGAAATAATGCTTATCTACCTGTGGCCTAAGAATTCACCAAAATCTGTGTTTCACAGCACAACAGACTCAAGGCTCATTGCATCTCCTCCAAGGAACCCCCAGAAGTTTAGTTTTTAGCTTAAGTGCTCCAAAACCTGAGAAAGAGATATCCCTCTGTCCTTCAGAGCTACACTGGTTGAAATTGGATAGATAGCTTATTTTTGTAGCAGACTCGCTCCTGCCTCTGCTGGCTTAGTTCAGCATGATGGTGAAGCGGATCCAAGGACAGCCTCAATCACGGCTACATGGACATCCTGTGCACCACACTCCATCTGCAACAGCAACTCCATTTTGTTGGCATATCTAGAAAGTTCCATTCTCTTTCACATTCATATCTGTTTCAGGTCATAGAAGAAGTAAGTGTAATTTTTGAGAGGTGAGGTTGGGCAGTGCTTGAATTTCAGAAGCAGCCCTCTCATTTTCCTCAAAACTGGGGCTCCACTGTCACCTTGATCAAGTTCCCTCAAGGTGAATTTATCACCATTGTTCTCCAGTGCAGAACATTTGAAGTGTGTGTGCTTCGTGGTGAGAGGCATTATTTCCCATTTGCAGGAGAGTGACTGAAAAAAACAGTTTGTGCGGAGAACACCCACTGCAACCATATGAAAAAACATCGAAAGATGACTCAGTGAGTACTGCACGCCATCAGGGTATCTTATTCCTAAAATGAACAACAAGACAAGCTCCTGTTCATCCTCAAGACAAAGGCAGTTTGGGGCCAAGCCAACTTACCCAAGGACAAGCCGTCCTATCTCATCTGCTTTGTCTGAAACTGCCTGCAGCTGCTCATGAGGCACTGAGGGGCGGATCCACAGGTAAGCATATTTAGGTGACACCAACTCTTTCAGACGGCTCACATGACCCTTAGGAGGAAGGAATCGGAGAATCAAGGACTCCTTCTTGCACACCCCCAAATCCTGTACATGAGTCCCCCATATCTCAAGCTGAAAAATTCTGCATGCCCCTGACTGACCTACACAAATTGCCAAATGATACTACTCTGGCAAAATTAGCAATGGCACACCCGATGGCAGTGGTTTTCAACCACTGGTCCATGGAACAGCGCCAGTCTGTGGGAGATTTCCCGCTTTCCATGGGGGCGGGGGCGGGCTGCAGACCGGCACAAGGGCTGGCTGAGTTGCACCACTCCTTCCTCAGTTAGCAGGGTGTTCACAGGAGATGTCCTGGTGCCACTGGGGTGGGGGCAGGGAGGGGAGAAATGGCTTGATGGGAGCTGGCTGGGAGCCACGCTACACTGATTCCGGTATTTTGTTCTTTTGTTGGCATATTTTGTTGCCGTTTCTGGTTGTTGGAGAATTTTCTTTTCTTTTTTCTTCTTCTTTCTTTTTGGTATAGTGTTTGGAAACTAGTACACAAAGTATTGCATTATGTGTATGGTGCTTTTTGTTTCTGCCTCAGTGGACCCAGAGGTGGTTTTCCTGTTTTTTCCGGTTCCCAGCTGTGGAAAGGTTGAAAACCACTGCCCTGCGGCATACTTCATGTACAATGAAGCAGCACTCCAAGATATTGCCAACAAAATAACAACCCTTCATGGTCATTCCCCCATCCAGAAGCCTGGTTATGAAGCAGGCGGTGCTGTGATCACATGGGCTGAAGAAGACCCACTGAGCATCTTCCAAGGCAGCCTTCCTTCAGACTGTACACACTCCTGGAATAAGCCAGCACACGCAGACTCCACTTTGTCCACAGCAATGGAGCCGTGAATGTTTGCACACACCTGCTCAGCTAGACAATCGACGGCCCACTGCCAACAGCAGCAACTTCCAGGTGCCGATGTGCGGACACAGGGCACCAGCTGGGAAACAGGCGTGCCTGGTAGGTGCCCAGCAAGTCATGCCCACCTGGACTTACTCTTCTTAGCAGGAGCACTTGTTCAATATGCTCCTTCCCAAGCACCTCTCGGTCCACCAGCTGCTCCCCATAGGCCTGGTCCACCAGTGCCTGCAGCTCTGCCACCAGCTTCTGCCTTGACGTCTCCTCCGCAATCTTACAGGATAGGTGGGTCCTGTGCAAAAGCCCTTGTGAGACACAGGCCAAGACGAGGGGCCACATTCAAGGAGCCAGAGAAATGAGATGCTACAGCAGGTGTCCAAGGGCAACAGTGACACACGAGGGCCAACATGCTCTTCAGGCCATCCCACGGCCAGCGGCACCCCTCCCTCAACCGCCTGCGTGGGCCTAGCTGGGCCAATGAACCCGTTTGCTGGCTGCCCAGAGGGACACCAGCAAACAGATCTTCCCTAGAAGGAACAGGCCCTGCTGTCAAAAGATGGGGAGGCATCAAGCCTCCAATGAGAGGAGGCGAAGGCTTCGGAGAGCCCAGGGAGCACGGAACGCACAGCTCTGGGGGGGCAGCCAAGCCAGCGCAGACACACAGGCTCATCCCAACAAGGGCCTGCAGATCAACCACGGGCCAGGAGAGTTTCCCCCGCTTCGTCTCCTCTACCTGTTGTACTCAGCAAGTTTTTCAAGCTCCAGCAGGGAGGAGTGCCTTTCAGTCCTGCTCACGTCAAATTCCTCGACTAGCTCCTTCAGTGTTCTCCCCATCCGATTCTCTGGAAAACAGACAACGGAGCTGCAGTCCTTGTTCTTCTTCAGCATTACCTGTGATTTCCACTGCATTTTTCACACATGGACATCGTAGTTTTTATCCTGTTTACATCGCTGCTGCTCAGCACATATTTCGACCTAAGCTCTGAATGACTGGGAGCTATCCGGGAAGAGAGGCAATCCTGCCAGCCAGGGTGTGAAAATCTATTCTGTGGAGCTTGCCATGCCGACTGTCAGTGCCAGCGGCCATTCCAGCAGGCCATACAGGCAGAGAGGAGAGGACAGACAGGTCTATTATCCCAGCCTGAGTAGAAAGGTTCATAGAACTAGACTGATTGGATCAAACTGATTGGTTCAAAATTGGGAAAGGAGTGCTGTATATTTAACTTACATGCAGAGCACATCACGTGAAAGGCTGGGCTAGATGAATCACAAGCTGGAATTAAGATTGCCAGGAGAAAAATCAACGTCAGATATGCTGATGATACCATTCTAATGGTGAAGAGGAACTAAAAAGCCTCTTGATGAGGGTGAAAATGGAGAGTGCAAAAGTTGGCTTGAAACTCAACATTAAGAAAACTAAGCTCATGGCATTTGGTCCTATCATTCCTGGAAAATAGATGGGGAAGAAATGGAGGTAGCGACAGATTTTATTTTCCTGGGCTCCAAGATCACCGCAGACGGGGACTGCAGCCAAGAAATTAAAAGACGCTTGCTCCTGGGGAGGAAAGCTATGGCAAATCTAGACAGCATACTAAAAAGCAGAGACATCCCCCTGCCAACAAAAGTGTGTATAGTCAAAGCTATGCTTTTCCCAGTTGCAATGTATGGCTGTGAAAGCTGGACCATAAGGAAGGCTGAGCACCAAAGAACTGAGGCCTTTGAATTGTGGTGCTGGCGGAGACTCCTGCGAGTCCCTTGGACCGCAAAGAGATCAAACCAGTCAATCCTAAAGGAAATCAACCCTGCCTGCTCTTTAGAAGGTCAGGCACTAAAGCTGAAGCTCAGATGTCTTGGCCACATAAAGAGAAGGAAGGACTCACTGGAAAAAAACCCTGATGCTGGGAACAATTGAAGGCAAAAGGAGAAGGGGATGGCAGAGGTTGAGGTGGCTGAATGGGGTCACTGGAGAGGTGGGTGTGGGCTTGGCTGTACTCCTGGGGCTGGTGGAGGACAGGAAAACCTGGAGGAATGTTGTCTGTGCAGTCGCGAAGAGTTGGGCACGACTTTGTGACTGAACAACAATGAACAACAAATGGTTTGACCTAAATGTCTATTTGCCAAAGAGACATTACATCACTAATTTTCATAAGAGAGGGAAGAAAGAACTATGCTGGGAAACTGACGCAAGGTTTATACTCTCCTCACCTGCAAATCCAGCGCCACAGCTTGTTATGATGTCCAGCAGGGCTTCTGGTAAATAGCCTTCCTGAGCAAACTTCTCCACAAAAATGTCCCCTTGCCTCTTGGACAGCTTGCTGCCATCTTTGTTCAGAAGCAAAGGGAGGTGACCAAAATGAGGTGGGTCCCAGCCGAAGGCCCTGTAGAGAAGGAGGTGCTTGGGGGTGGAGATCAGCCATTCAGCTCCACGTAACACATGACTGATCCCCATCTCATGGTCATCCACCACATTCGCCAGATGATAGGTGGGAAATCCATCACTCTTCAGGATCACCGGATCACCTTCCACACTGGCCACCTCATGCTTATTCCAGCCATAGATCAGGTCATAAAATGGCTCGGAGTGTTCTTCCAGGCGAAAACGCACAACATGGTCAGTACCTTGAGATAGCTTCTCAGCCACCTGCTTGGGGCTCAGGTGACGACACCGATTGTCATACCTGCAAAGAGAGAGGGGGAAAGAGTAAGAACCATTTCTGAAATCATGACTAGAGAATGCTTCCAACTCTAGCCAAAAATGCAGGTTTTAATTCTGTTTCCCCCAATAAACTCCAAGACTTTTTCAAAGAAGAACTTGACAAAAAACCCAGAATTGCAGCCTGCCTTGGACAAAGGCAATAGAATTCAAGGGTGGTCTTCAGGAAGGATGCACCGAACGGTGATAGCTGCAGCATCACATAGTAAGCCGGTGGAAGTAACTGAAGTAAAGGTATCCCTGTCTTATTCTCAAGATGATGCACCCAATAAATTGGTTCAAGAGCTCCACTTCCCATCTTTTGGAGTCAGGCTCACATTACCAACTGGAAAACACCACTAAGTGTGGTCACCTAACACCAAAACATTGACAAATTCTAAGGTAAATGAATGTTTATCTTATGTCCTTGTTATTTACTCAACTTACATTCCGCAGTTAATTACAGTGGTACCTCAGCTCACAATTGCCTCTGTTCATGACCAAATCGGGTCGTGAACAGAAATTTCAGAGAAAAATTGCCTCAGTTCGTGAACTCCACATTGGCTGATGACCAAGATCACAGCTATGTTGCCATACGAGCACGATCCCGAGTGCCCCCGTCTCCCCCCACGCATGAGCGCGCCTGCGATTGTGCCCTTCTCTCCACCGGGTGCGCCCGCGAGCATGCCTGTCTCCCCCCAGCGCAATTGCAATCACGGCCATCTCCCCGCTCCCCCAAGCACGATCGCTATCGCACGATTGTGGTTTGGACTCTCCCGCCAAACAACAACCTCCCCCACACCTAGGTTAGTGTTTGTCTGTACTTTGTCACTTTGCTTCAAATTTTAGTGATTAAAAAATATTTACAGAACTGATTAACCTTACACTGAACCTTATAGGGGAATGTGACTTGGCTTGCAACCAATTTGGGTCACGACCAGAGTTCTGGAACGGATTGAGTTCGTGAGCCGAGGCACCACTGTATTCCCAAGGACTCTCTAAGCAGATTACATGAAAACAATAAAAACAGCATATAATAAAAACATATAACAATAAACAGTAACCATGTACAATGAAGCATACAATATGCAGCTGAGGAAAACAAAATGAAACACTGTAACATTTCCTCTGCATCTGGGAAGCAGCTAAGTAGTAGGCCTTGACTTGGCAGTAGAGAAACATTAGTGCAGAGCTAACAGGCCAGGTTAGGCAACCACGGAGGTCTCTGCCCTTCTGATAACCACTCAACCCAAGCACACCAAGCCAAGGGCAACAGGGGCCTGTCCAAGACACTGAACTTCCAAACAATGCTGCAGAACTGAGGGGGAAAAGACCTTAAAGTAATTGTGGACAACACGCTAAATATGAGCCACCAATGTGATGCAGCTGCAAAATGAGCAAATTCTATTTTGGGATGCTTTAATGAAGTATTACTTCCAAATCACAAGAAGTAGTGGCTCCCCTCTACTCCTCACTAGTCAGACCCCATCTGGAATCCTGTGTCCGGTTCTGGGCACCCAGATTTAAGAAAGATGCAGAAAATTAGAAAAGGTTCAGAGGAGAGCAACAAAAATGATCCAGGATTTGGAAACATTGCCCTGTGAGGACAGACTGAAAGAACTGGGCATGTTCAGCTTCGAGCAGAGAAGACGGGGGCGAGGGCACATGATATCCCTCCATAAGCACCTCAAAGGCTGTCACAAAGAGGAAGGTCAAGATGCCAGAGTGCAGAACACAGAATGACCAATTCAAGTTGCAACAACCCAGGTTCAGGCTAAATATCAGGAAAAGCTTCCTCACTGTCAGAGCAATGCAACAGTGGTACCAGCTGCCTAGTGAGGTGCTGGGCTCTCCCACACTCAAAAGGAAACTGGACAGTCATCTGAGTGGGGTGGTGTAAACTGGTGTCCTGCAACAGCAGGGGTTGGACCTTCATGGTCCCTTCCAACTCTAGAATCCTATGAGATGCCAGGACAACATAGCCAAACCTAAACAAGCTGAGTCATCCCAGTCACGAACATATTCTCACCGTGGTGGTTGCTGACTCCGCAGTGCTTCCTTCTTCAGCAGCTCCAAGCGCCGGGGGGTGCAAAAGCACCGATAAGCACAACCCTTCTTGAGAAGTAGTTCTGTAGCTTCCTTGTATAGGTCAAGTCGCTGCGACTGCTGGTACGGGGCAGCAGGACCACCCCGACGAGGGCTCTCATCAGGTGGGATGCCTAAAGAAGAGGAGATCATTCAAGCAGCAATAAAGAGCCTTCCAGAAGGATCAGAGTGTTAATGATACAGTCCAACCTCCTGACAAATCCATCCACTTTTCCACCCACGTGCAGGACTGTGAAGGAGGTCAGCCTAACCACCAGCTGAAGGGAGTTCCAGCTGACAGGATGATGCAGCCCAGCAACAAAGTGGTGGGCAAGCGGGAGAGTTAAGCACTTGCGCAGGCTTAGCAACAGGACAAACACTCTGCCAAGCCCCCAGCTTTCAAATGAGCAACCCTAATAAATGAGACACAATTCTGACAGTAAAATGCTGGCAAAGTTACTGGGACAATCCTACGACTTAATACTTTTCATGACTTCTGTTCTGCTGGACAGAAACTGGGCTCTCAGGGAACAAGTTCAGTCTCTTCAACCCAAGGTAACAGACCCAGAGATGAGAAAGGCAGAGAAGTTTGCAGCTGAAGCTTTTGAGGATGTCATTGCAGCTCCTAAATACAAGGGCAACAGCTCCTGCGCTACTGCAGTGAATAGAAGGAGCAGCCAATTTTACTGGAAAACACTGCTGCACAATCCTGCAAGCAAGACACAGATCGCTGGGTATACTATTCGGCACCCCAGACTCTTTTCTTGAGACTGGTGTTCTCTACTGAATCTTAAGAGCCGGGTGAAGAGGAATCTTGATGTGCCAATGAGATGGTGGTTTCAAAGAAGGAATTGACGGGCACTTAATACTTGCATCTGTCTTCAGTGCAGAAAATGTAGGACAGATACCCAAGCTGAACTGCTATTTCCAGCATGGGTGTGAAGAATTTCTAATAAAAATATGTAACTCATCCCCAAAATTGGCCTCCAGAGGGTACTAGAAAGTAACCAATCACACTCCCATTTTTAAGAAGGCATCAGATCCAGGAAATGATAGGCTGGTTAGCTTAACAGAGTTTGCAGCTAACTCAAGAAAACAAAAGAACAGTTCTTACTCAAATGGAGTTTCCTACTTACCACAAAGGGAGGCTGTCTCTGCAGAATGGCTGCAGAAGGCAGCTTCAAGGTCATTACCACGGGTGCTCATTGGTAGGGCACCTTCCTGTGTTCCTGAAAGGGGTGGAATTACCTGCCCACTCCAGCATATTTTCTATGTCTTCTGCTGATCCTGGCACCAAACGGCTTTGGTCTGTGTCCTCTAATCTCAGGATAAAGCTCCCTTGGTATTTTTTGGCAAAAATGTAGTTGTATAAAGCAGTCCGCAGGCCACCCAGGTGCAGATAGCCTGTAAAGCACAGAGAAGGGGATCAGGTCCACCAAGTGCAATGCTGGCACTCACATTAACAGTGACCGGCCATTACAGATGGACCAAACCAAAACTACTTTCTAGGACCTTGCATGCAATGTTTACCATGTATAGCCTGAAGTGAGAAAGCAGACTGAACTGACTGGGCGAATGTCCTAAAAGGACAATTAGGTGCTCCGACCTTCAAAAGTAGCAAGGGCCACTAGCACAAGCAAGAGCTGAGCTTCCACGGTGAAGGGGCAACCAAGCTCCAAAGAACTCCACCCAGTGCTTATGAGCTTCCCATAAACTTATGCTAGCATCTCTCCAAAACCACAATGGCAAGTGGCCTTTTGGTGTAACCATGTACAGTGGTACCTCGGCTCACGAACTTAATCCATTCCAGGACTCTGGCCGTGCCCCAAATTGGTCGTGAACCAAGTCAAATTTCCCCATAAGGGTCAATGTAAATAAGGTTAATCCATTCTGCAACTATTGTTTTACCTCACAAACATTTGAAGCAAAGTGACAAAAAACAACAAAGATCGCGGCCATCCCCCCCCAGCAATCATGCAAGGGGGTGGGGGAGGTGGGAGCGCAGGGGGGAGGCGGGCACGGGCGCCCATGCAGAGTTCGTGACCTGCAGCAACATTTTTATGAAATTTCTGTTCACGACCCAATTTGGTCGTGCACTGAGCCAAGGTACCACTGTAATAGCTACTTAAAATGGGAATATGCATTTTTGTCTCTTTTCATTCTGAACTCACGCCTCTTCAATCATTCCGTAGGAACTCCCTATCCATTATGTGCTTTTCCTCCTCCAGGCCACCAATTTATAAATCATGTCATGAGCCCTCCCCCCGCCCCATAAACTGCGCTACTTTTTGGAGCTACGCTGGGACACTCCTGTATGATCAGGCACTGGCAGCAGAGAAAGTTTGAATCAAAACTTGGATTCTTCCTACCGCAGACTACAATTTCTTTGAAAAGGAACGCCTGCAGACAGCTGCAGTCCGTAGGCGCAATATAACATGGTGCTACGCAGGAAATCAGCGCGTGCAAGGCAAGGGGGCCGTTGGGCGGCCGCCACCGCTCGCCCGCCCGCCCGCCGCGCGCAGCCGGCCCCTTGCGCAAACCCACAGGCACGGGCGACGCCCTCCCGGGACGCCGGGCTCTCGCGCCCGGGCCATGCCCGCCTTGCGGCCCGTCTTACCTGTGGGGCTCGGCGCGAAGCGCGCGCGCACCGCGCCGTCCAAGGCCGCCCGCAGGCCGCGCCCCGCCGCGCCCGGCCCCATGGCCGCCGCCGCCGCCTTCCCGGCCAACCCGGGGCGCCAGGCTTCCCGGGCGCG